TGTACTCACTATTAAATTGGAACTAACCATGAGCACATGTGTGCACAGAGGGAAGGAAAACTCAGTGGAAAGCAACCAGGGGGGAGAGGGAAGGAGGAGAGAGGAAAAAACCAACCTAATGGGTACTATGAACATCATTTGGGTGACAGGCACACCTATAGCACACACTCCAGTGTTACAAAAATGATCCATGTAAACTAAAACATGCATACCTCCTCAATATTTTGAAATTGAGAAAAAATGGATATATAAGACACTGGTTAAAGTGGTTGCCTCTGCAGGGAAACGGGTTGGCATGGAGGGCGCTCACTTGGCACCATGTGCCGTGCTTTTGCAGTGCTGAACTGTTTAGTGTGCTGACATTTCCACTGGCTCCTCTACTCTCCACCCTCTCCCCAATGATCTGTGCCCAAAGGCTGATGTGGAGGCCCCATGCCAACGCGCTCCCGGGCCCTCTGCTTGCATCTGCCGAAGGGAAGGCACCAGAGGGAACTGGAGAGTGGGCAGTGGCGTGAGGCCCAGGTTCTCACTGCCCGGCTTCCTCTCGGTGACGTTGCTGGAGGTCGGCCGTGCCCTCAACCAGAGGCTCCCACCCCTCGCCTGGCCAGATGGCCTCCCCACACGGCTCTTCTCTCCAGGTTCCAGGACAGGCTTCTGGAATAACCCTCTCTCCTTGCCCTTCAGGTCTGGGCTGATGAGGCACCCCACCCCTGCTCACATCTTCATTAAACTCTCCGCAAACTGCAGCGGGAGCATCCTCTGCTTCCCGCTGGGACTCTGACGGATACAGCACATGATGCATTACTTTTGCAAAAACATGAGAAAATTATTTTTAGGAAGTAAGGCAGATGTAGCATATGTTGTCACAATGAACTATGTACCCAGGAACTCAACCGAGTTAAAGTAGAGGAGCATCTTACTTGCTCGTTAACATCATCCATCCAGAGGCGTAACGTTTTCCGAATCGTTGGGTAGTTGTTTCTGCCCCCCGTCTGTGGTTTCAGCAGGCCGGCCTTCTCCAGGTTGTACAAGGTCAAGATGTGCTCATAGCCGTATGTCTGCAAGAGAAGTCGTTCGGCCTTGATGTCAGATCAGATCAGGAAAAGGGTTTCTGCGATTTTAAAAAAAAGGGCACTTATAACAAATCAATTTGATTTGTACTCCAGGGCGTGTTACCAAAGTCCAGCAGTGACTGTTGATGGGCACAGGGGAGAGGGGAGAGGATGACATTTGTCCTAAAGTTGCTTGCTCATTTCTATTAATCCAGCTCTTCATCTCAAAGAGGGATTAAAAATTTTTACTTTTAAGTCAGAATTTATGGATCTCACCTAAGTGGGCATCAAATAAGTGATAGTCAATTTATAGATGGGATATAATTAGCTCTAAAAAGAATGAGGTATAACTATACCTCAAAAAGAAAGACCTTCTGGATATGTTCTTAAGGTCAAAACTCAATAATAGAATACTATATACAGCAGGGTTTATTTCTGATAAAAAAGCAACTAGTCAAGAATAGTAGCCGACACTTATGTCCTACTCTCTCCGAGCGGGCACTGTTCTGGTCCTAAGCACGCTGGAGACGTTCACTCGGCCGTCCTGACTGTCACTCCCGAGGTAGGTACTGTTATCTCCTCCAGGTCACACAGATGTTTAAACAACGTGCCCAAGGTCACGCAGTCAGCGAAGAGCAGAGCTGAAACCTGGATCCAGTCAGTCCCGCTCCCCAGTCGCTGTACGTAAATATCCTCTGTTTATATACACAAGCAGGGGGTCTGGAAGGAAGGAAACCAACCTGCTGACAGTGGTTACCTCTGGGGAGGGAAATGGGGACGAATGGGGTAGAGGGGATGTTCACATTTGCCCCATATACTTCTGCATTATTTGAATATATATATATTTTTTCTTAGAGATAGGGTCTCACTGTATCACCCAGGCTGGTCTTGAATTCCTGGGCTCAAGCGATCCTCCTCCCTCAGCCTCCCGAGTAGCTGGGACTACAGGCTGGGACTACAGGCATGTGCCACCACACCTAGCATTATTTGAATTGCATGAGAATGCATACTTAAAAATGACAAAAAAATATTAATGAATGCTTAATTTTAACAATAATGTACTTAACTAGTAACAGCATCTACTCTTACATTTTCAAACAGAGGAGAGATATTTACAGACAGAGGAGAGAATTTTTAAAATAACAGTGAGTTTTTCCTTATTATAAAGTAATACAGGCTTAAATTAAGCAAGCCTGCTAAGGCACTATTATCAGAAATTTGCAGAAAGTTCTATTCCTCTATCGCATAACTGCCTAATTAAGAACATGGGTGCTAGACTCCAGTTGCCTGGGTTTTAGCGCTGGCTCTGCCACTTACCAGCTGGGTGACCTTGGTGAGTTACCTAACTAGTCTGTACCTCAGGTTCTTCATCCATAAAATGGGAACAATAACAGTATCTAACCCCCAGGGCTGCTGTGAAGAT